GGGGCGCGAACGGCTGTGTGGTGTTTAGCTGCCTGCTGGGTTAAACCACAGCAGTACTGTATTACTACCTAGTTTACATGAGAAGATAAAACAAAGAACTGTGGGATGGGGGGAATTTTGAAAACTACTCCACATCATGGAAGATTAACTACTGTCCTATAAATACATGTCAAAGTCTTCATTATTCTACTGGTGCAAATTTGGAGTAACTGATGATTTTAACTGGATTAACATGGCTTTAGGATGATAGAACCAAGAGATGCGGACTTTATGTTTAATTGAGAATGGAGTTAGATATGTCACAGACATTTTGGGAGCATTTGCTCCAGTAACTGACGTGTATTACTTATCAGCCTAGTCTCTAAAGTCAGAACTGTAATGTATTTTCTCTTTCTTCCTGCTCTAGTTCTTAATGTAAGCATAGAAAACTTTAATTTACACTCACAACCTTTAAGTTTGAGCACAACAACATGTAAAAGTGTTTAGAAAAAAAAGGGAAAATCTGAACAGTGATTAATAAATAACTCAATCGGCATTTGGAGGTTTCATCACACTGAAATAATTGTTGCCTATTGCTGGTGTTTAGCAGTTAAAAGAAACCATGGAAATCAACCGTTTGATTCTCAATTTCATACTGTGCCATACAATCAATTCTTTTTAGTCAGACTGTCTCTAGATTTACTTCTGAGCCATAGTAAAATGAGGAAGCTTTCATTAATCTTTCAGATGCTTCATATTAATGACAAGGCTCTTGCATGAACAATGTAACAGCAATTAAAAAGCCCATTAATCTGCATTACAGCTATTAAAGATGCATGTCATTAAAGGGTATGGAGTTTGATTCATTTTCGCACCCCCCCAAAAAATGGAGCAATTATGGTCTGGCAATGCACTTTGTCATCAAATTAGGTTGGGGTTTTCCAGCAAATGGCTTTGCAGCATTTAGCTCTTCTCCTGTTTTATTATTCATGACTGAAATGTGGAAGTCAAGACCTTTGAAATTACTTTACCTTCTTGTGGAGTGGAGATGTTCAATGCATGCAAGCTCTCAGTACAGCCAGCCAAAGTGCAAGCAGTTAGGGTTACAGCGTAGTTTGTGAAGGGATGCAAGCCTGTCAATATGCCTGCAACAGAAGAAAGCAAGGTGTTACGCATGTACAGTGTACAGACTGATTATGTACATAGACAGACAGAAGTAAAAAAAATAAAGTTTTCTGTTACAAGCTTCCACTGTTACAGGCAGAAAAGAAAAATGATTTTAAGGTTTCATTCCTATTATGCCATGACTTAAATTTTGCAAAATAAATTAAGAGCAAATGGTATTTTATTCCATTCTTAATATTAATGATGCAGCTAAGTTTCTTTAGTTGTGCTCACTATAACAGATACTACTTCAAGATTGAGGTGTATATTTTAATATAACAATGACAATAAAGGAGGTTTTTTTCTTAGTCCCTGCCTTACAAAGTTTTTTCAGTTATTCATTTTGTTTTTCCCAGGAATTTTCACTGTCTCCCAGAACAAAATTTTTTAATGCTTCCTCTCCAGTGTTGGCCTTATTCATCCATAAACTGAAATCTCTTTTTTATATGAAACATCCCACTTGTGTTCCATTACTTCAGTGGCAGCATATAGACCATACATTTGCCATACTACTACAGTAACATAATTCAGGTGACACAGTATCCAAGGGTTTACAAGAAAAAAAGATCTGTAATCTTATGCTTTTTCAGGTCCTGCTTATGTCGGTGAAGAGAAGTTGCTAGATTCCCACATATCGATCAGCTACTTGTCGTAGCGAATGCAACAAATCACTGCTTACCACTTCAGGAAGTTACACAGTATTTTAAACTGCAACATACAGAATGACTACGTGGAAAAAAATGTGGTTTACAGTCATTTTCAGAAACATCAGCAGTTCCCATTCCAAAGTAGGTCTGACAATAAAGTAATAAGGAATGAAAATGCAGTGGTAATTAAAAGAAGGCCAAGTCATGTCAAGTTTTATTTCAAACCATGTTCTCACCTCGACTCTCAAAGCTTTTAGTAAAATCAATGGGGTGTTTCATTAAAAAAAAAAAAGCGAACTATGTTATTTCGGAACTGTCTGACCTGTCTGACACTGGGATTTTGCAAAGCAGCTTCAAAAACAACAGTACCTCAGAGAACCATAATTCTTAGCCAAACCTCCCATAGTACAATAAGACTGCAAACCCCCTCAGCATTACATGTACACAAACAGGTAGAAGAAATTAGTCCTTATTATTACTCTTCATTGACTTACTCCATAGAATGCAACATAACTTTGGGTTTCATTAAAAAATGTCTTTTTTCCCCACATAAGCCCTTTATACTCACAAAACGGGCCTGGAGAATTTGATGCTGGAAGTTAACAGTTACAGCATAAATATATTATTTTCTGAGTGGGACAATCAAAGTCTGTAAATGTTTATATTGTGTTTACTAATAGGTGTGTTCACATGGAAAATATGAGATTAGCTTTCACTGAATTAGTAGTGTTTGTGCCTTTTCTTGTAATTAATCCAAAAACTTCAAAGGTTGGCATTGCAACAATCTTTCTATTTGAATTCTCTGAGGTCCAGTTCTACTGGTACACACAAAGAGATATTCAGAAGTAATCACATTTACTTCAGAGTAGTGTTAAACTAAAACCAGTTGACCAGAATCCGCTCTCACTGCTTATAGTTTTGATTTTGCAAATCCCGTTAGCAATGGAAAGCTGTACTGCCATCTTACTATCTAATGTAAATGTGACAGGAAAGAAAAAGAACGTTGTGTCAGCCACCACCCAAGCAAATGTGCCTGTAATCTTCCTGTGATGGAAGGCAAATATTTTTAAGAGCATTCAAAAAGCAGAAAGTAGGAAATAATGATGTTTTAAAGCATTACTATCCCTGTAAAGCAGGAATATTGGAATCTACAGTAAATTCTTCAGCACAGAAATTTCATCAGTCAAAAAACCCCATCTTTTTTGCATAAGACTTAGTACAAAGCACTTATTTCCAGATCATTGAGGGTTAAACACGGGAAAGTATAAAAGGTACTATTGGAATTACCTTCAGCAAATAAACACATGCAGAAACCAAATCCTCTGTGACATTTGCAGGTTCTCAGTTAAGAGGAGCATGGTATAGCGTATATGCCATCACTCTGTGCACTCTGCTGTGCTTTAGGAAGCAATTTAGTTTTATTTGTACATTTAGCACTTGTAGCATTCTTTTCTTATGAAACAGTGAATTAATGCTCCTTGCATTTCCTGATGGAAGACATTCTGTGGGGGTCACCAATGGCTTCAGGCACTGAGAGCTGAAGTAGCACAGATCCAGAAAGATGCCCGTAGCTGTAGAAGGTTTGGATTGGGCTGTTTGGTTTACTTTTGAAAAAGTAGAAAGGTTTTACATAAAGCACCTGTAGCGCAACAGAGTGTACATTGCATAGGCAGGTTTGTGAAGGGCAGTGAGAATTTGAAGAAAAAAAAAAAAACAAACAAATAAACCCTTTTGCAACAGGAGGTTTATGTTAAAAAATACATTCAGCAAAGTCAGCAACTTAAAAAAAATAATTTGTTCATTTCCTAATTAATGTTTTTCCTTCACATGTACCCTTGCACTATTTTCTTTCAACAAAGAAACAGATGTGCTGCATAGGTAGGCAATAGCAAGTGCACAGATTTTATTTACATACTTCAGCAAACTACTTTTTTCTCAGCTGCCAACCTATCTGTTTGGCCAGCATCCACTGTAATCTGTTCTCCTTCATTATGTTAATCTGTGGGCGGAAAGATTTCTGTCATCTTCAAATCGCTTGTACAGCAATGGTAAACACCTTGGCCTGTCTGTAATTGGACAGGTGTCTGCATTGGTGTCACCCAGCTTTTAATTCAATTAAAGAACTGGCTGCTCTGCTCTCATTACCCACTCATTTCCTCTGCACTTTTAGTCAGTCAGTGAAATTTACACTCAGTGCCTGACTATCTTAGAGTACAAAGTCAGCAGTCCCATAGCAAAGATCATCACTGATACACGTGAATTAATTTATAGCACAGCAAACTAAATTTTGCAATAAAAAACAGCTTATGATCCAATGAAGTCGGTTGACAGCTTTAAAAAACTTTCCCGAACTCCTCAATTATCACATTCTCAGACCGGCATCTCTTGTCTACACCAAATAATTGCTGATCTGATAAGAGTCCATCACGCTTTCCAAGATGGGATGCTAACAATGCAAAATTTGGCCGCAACCACACTTGCACATATTCTATTAATGCTAACAGGAGAGAGGTAGATAAATTGTCACTTTGATCAGGAGATAGAATTAGAGGCACCATCAATATTTAAGAAGAGGGTCAGCCTCCCACATTTGGGATATGAGTCCCATTCATTCAGCCTGCCACTACAGAGCAGCTGAATCCATCTAGACTTAAAATTTACATCATAGACAACGTTCCAAGCCTTAAAATCCACATGGGGAATCGGAGACGGTAAATCATTCTAACACACCACTCCTATCTGCCCACTCAAAGAACCTTTGGAAATAAATTAAAGTTCTAACACAGACATTTTGACACAGTGACCCCATGAAACTGAATAATGTCATTTGTTAAATATGAATGTAAAGTTAACAGTCTAAAGGAGTGATCTGGAATCACACCTAGAACATTAAGCCCACTTTATATGCAAAACTAGTATTTAATTTTCTATACTTTTATTTAAATGATCTTTAATTATTTGCAATATTTAAAGTTGAGGTTTAGAGTTGTGTCAGAGAGAAAATGCTAGGTTCATTCTTGCAGACAAGGGACAAAAAACATTGACATGGACAGCAGAAAAGGATCAACAATGAATTTATGGTAAAATGGATGCGTGGACTAGTCAGAGTTAGTTGCATCTTTATATCCACTCCATTCATCATTCTAATGCATACTTCTCCATAAAAGAGACGTTTCTTTTGTTCAGTACATCTAAAAGGGAGGTCTCATATGTTTAGGTAACTCGGCCAGATTCCACAGTATTCTGGCAGATTTTGAGTGGAAAAGTAATACTTCCCATCAAGGAAAAAAAATGTTTTACCACTAAGGTATGAGGGCTAATATTTTGTTCACAAACACTGAACAATAGATTCAAAGGCAATTATAGTATTTTAGCAATTTCCTCATCCAGTTAAAAGACTTTTATGAAAGCAGCTGCTTCACTGTTCCAATCTGTCATCCCGCTTTTTCAGAAAGTTGCTTCAAAACACCACACCAGGTCTTCTGAAATGAAAAGACACACTTGCTTACGGTAACTTACAGAGCAGCTTTTACTCTGCATAAGGAATTGGTTAAACAAATATAAATTGAGGAGCTTTTTAAAATACATTTATTGAAGGAGCCTTCCCATAAAAACAAAACTAAACCCACTTGCCCACGCATGACTCGCACAAAAAAGCTGTTTAATCTTACAGATGTAACACAAATACTAAAGTTCTTTTCCTCACTTCCACAAAAAAATGCACTCAGGTAAGACGGTGGAAGAGGACAATTTTGCAAGACTAGTTCAATATTTTATTTTTACAGGTAGATTTAGCTAATTTTATTCATAACCAGGCACGACTTTCATATGCAGCTTGAAAACTCAGCTCTGCTACTGAATGTTAAGATTCCCAAAGTCAAACCCAGAGCTTCCCCACACAAATTCCATTTGTTTCACAAGCTGAGTGTGTTTTTTGCCAAAGGCACTTTTCCTTGCCAGATTTTTTCATTGTTTCCTCCCTAACACTCCACTTCATAAGGACCTATTTTGAAATACACATATTGCAATGGAAACAACACTTAATTCTTGTTTAAACTCTTAAAAAAATATTACCAAATCTCCCCTCCGACTTAATTCTTGTTTAAACTCTTAAAAAAAAATTACCAAATCTCCCCTCCCCAAACCTAAAGACTATTTAGCCAACTTGAATGCCTGAGGTTGTACAGCATCTGTCTGACAAAGTCACTTGTGTGTCGAGATGCATCATTGCCACAGTACACTTAATCACAGTCCACTGACCAGAAAAGGAAGTCCTCAACTGACTTTGTGTTTTCGACAGATTGTAGCAAAAACTGTTTAAGTACATGCGTCTT